GGTTCTCTTTAGTCCGCGTATTAGCTTCGTCCTTAGGAACTTCTTGCTAACCTCAATCCAAACCACCGAGAACCCGATCCATACATGAATCAACTGTCAGAGCTGTCAGATCATATGGTCCAGTTATATAGTCCAAACGCATAAAGAGAAGTGTACTTTCCAGATGTATTATTGCAAATACTTTTACAAAATGTGCGTTAATTTGATGCAGACAGTGAATTTTCGTAAATGTTAAAGGGGGAAAAAACGCGCTGGAGCGCTCTTCATTTTGAAAACGCAATGAACAAACGTTATCCTAGTTGGAGAACTTACCCGGGCAAGGCCCCACTGATAAACTTGTTGCGTAGTTGAGTTTTTTTTCTTTTTCAACAAAAGACGTGTTTCCATCTTTTCACACAAAGGAAACTGAGGTCTTTAACTACTACAACAGCTAGCAAGTGCGAATAAAAGCTAACGTCAACAGAGAAAAGTAGTCAGCCAGCTAGCATTAGTTATGTACCATAAATTGACTTTTTCCTTACCTTTTTCCTGGTTAAATGATATTATTTCCTCCTCCTTGGGGTTAGAAACTTGGGTTATTATGGACATGTGGTCCATTTAGACGATTGATTATTCCTGTTTTAGTTCCCACAATGTCAATAGTACAAGCGCGCTTGCTTCCTTTGCTAGCTACTGTTAGCTAGCTGTTTAAGATGAAGGTAACCAGCTAGCCCACGAAGCCAGGAAAGCGTCCGAGGCGAAGGGGTTGTGGCAGCGGTGGTAGCCAGCCAGCTAGCACAGTGGTGAATGGAAGCCAGATAATGTCTGTCATTTATGGCTTTCCGAAAACTACCATCGCTACAAACAACTATGTTTGTGGGCAACACGAGGAGCGTGCGTGACTATAAAAAACAAATAAATAGAAAAGACGCTGAAATTGCTAACTAACTGAAGTTAGCAAGTAGCTTAGGTTAGCGAGTTAGCCGCAAACCTTCGATTATCCAAAATGCAAGGCCGTGTCTGGAGCACCGCTGAAAATACTTGGAAGCCCAGATGGTTGTTCTAGTTCAAAAAAACATGCAACGACCGCAGGTTGTTCGGCGTTAAAGTTACCAGACACTTTTAGGCAGTCGGTTCATGTGTGCTGGCCCTACATTCCCTGTGCAACATGGAGGCTTTATGTATTTTGAGTTGCATCTGAAGCGGGGGCACCGTGAGTGGGAGGGGGCGGTTTGTTTCTGTGATGGATTCTCTCAGGCAGGCAGCACAAACTCGCCGCACTACATTGCTCAAACCATGCAGCTGGCTGGACGCGGCTTTCTTGGGCTGTAATTACTG